TATGTCTAGAATACTGGGTCTGTTTAGCATATTCAACTCTGTGTAATGGTACAGGGTATTTAAAAAACTCACATTTAATTAACTAACTAACCAAGAGTTAAAAATAAGAACATACTAATAAAACTTATAGTCTGAAATATTAATAGTTTCATATTTAAGCATGTTACAGGCAACAGCAGTTTCAGTTCCCCTTTTTGCCAGCCTCAATCATAGGAATGTAGCAGATGCTGATGGCTAGCCAGGCCTGCAACTTCCTGTCCCCAGATATTAGCAATAAAACCTGCACAGAGAAAAAAATGCTAGATGCTGACACACACAAAAGAGAACATCAAAACCACCCAACATCTGGAACATGAAACTACAAGTTGCCAGAATTCTTTAGTTCCCTGCTTCCCACAACCTCCCTATAAAGAAACCCTTTGCCTACCCTGATATATTAAGATAGGCTTTGAGACAAGAGTCCCCCACCTTCTCAGGTGACTGGCATTTGAATAAATCTTTTTATTTTTTTCACCAGAATCTGTCTCACAAGTTTGGCTTTGGTGGCAGCACGCAGCCAAACCTTAGTTTCAGTTACAACTGGGTACTGGAGATGAAGGTCTATGGATCCTAGCTTAGAATCAATTCATGAGCTAGGTTGGAACAAAAACTGGAGATGTAGAGTCAAGGAATCCAACTGTGAAAATTTAAGAATACGAAGACAGAGAAAACAATAGCAAATGCTGGCACCATAAGATTTATGAACTGGATACAGGACATGCTGAAATTTAAAATGATCAACACAGAAGAATCAGCATATACTGGGGAAATGGGGTATAGGAGCTATTCTGCAGCCCAACAGAAAAACAGAGAGAGGAAATCAGGAACCAAAGAAACTTTCCTAAGATGTTATTTCTGAAGAACAGGCAGAAAATTTGAAGCTAGGAAAATAATTCCAGGGTTACAATAGGAAATAACTTATCTAGTCGATTTATTTGTTCATTCCTTAGTTCATTCATCTATTAGCAGACAGTATACTGGGTACTGGAAATACAGTGAAAAAAAAAAAAAGATCTTGCTCTAAAAGATCTTACAGAGTGGAGAATATAGAATACAAGACTCTCTTTGGCCTAAGGGTTCTCTGGCTTTCTCTAAATTACCAGCATTCAGAGGAGAGTCTTAAACCTTATTCCAACTAAGATTCTATCCATATTGGGAAATGAGCCCTCTAAAGCAGCAGTTCTCAACCTGTGGGTCACACCCTCTCTGGGGGTCAAACGACCCTTTCACAGGGGTGGCCTAAGACCATCGGAAAACACACATATAATTACATATTGTTTTTGTGATTAATCAGTATACTTTATGTTCAATTTGTAACAATGAAATTGGGGGTCCCCACAACATGAGGAACTGTATTAAAGGGTCGCGGCATTAAGAAGGTTGAGAACCTTTTTGCCTTAGGATCAAATATAATTCCTTAATATATTATCATGGCTTAGCCCTTCCTGCCCCTCCAGCTTACTCTTTGAATCTCCCCCCACCTCCTAAACCGCCCCCCCCCCCTTTCTCGCGCTCTATGCTCTCCTGTTAGTTACTTGAAAGCACAAGACTTATTCTTGACTCTGGCCTTTCTCTTGTTTGGCACATTCTTCCCTCTCTTCCTCGCTCGGTCTATTTCTACTAAGTTCTCCACTTAAGTATCACTTCCCTGATCCCATGTAGGTTAGGTGCTCCTGTTATTTGCTCCCACAAACTTCCTTTTCCAGGAAGTTTATTTTTATTCAGTTGTTTATCTCTTCTGATAAAGAATAGCTTCTGGGCATGATATATATTTATTTTTTAAAAAATATATTTTATTCTTTTTTTTTTTACAGAGAGGAAGGGAGAGGGATAGAGAGTTAGAAACATCGATGAGAGAGAAACATCGATCAGCTGCCTCCTGCACATTTCCCACTGGGTATGTGCCCGCAACCAAGGTACATGCCCTTGACCGGAATCGAACCTGGGACCCTTGAGTCCGCAGGCCAACGCTCTATCCACTGAGCCAAACCAGTTAGGGCAGATATATATTTATTTTATTTATCATTCTACATTCAGTCACCTCAGCACAGTGTTTGACACCAAGATAGGAACTATGGTAAATCAATTTATTAACCACTCCATCTCCAGTACTTTATTCAGAGCATAGCATAAAATAGCTGTTTACAACATTTTTGACTCAATGAATAAATAAATGAATGCCACCCGTAATCCCAGTCAGTCTCACCTTATTTTCACAAAACCTCTGTAATGAACAGGCACTATGCATGACACTCTCAGTAGCTTGCTCTGTTTCCCTATATATTATGCCTTAAAATGAAAGGCTCTGGGATTTTAAACTTCATCTGGAACTGGGCTCAAGCTGCTGTATACTTGTTTGGATTCAGTCTGATCCTTATCCTAAATAATAAAGAGCTAATATGCTAATTAGGCTGGATGGTGGAACGACCTTCCAGAACGACCAGTGGGCGGGGGGGGGAGGGGGGGGAGGGGGCGGCGGAGGGGCCACAGAGCTGTGAGGCAGCCGGGGCCGCAAGCCAGACTTGCACGAATTTCGTGCATCGGGCCTCTAGTACTTTCATAAGAACCCCAAAGCAGGCATTTTCCTTTAATAATAGGACTTCTAATTTTCCCTGTCTACCATGCTCTCATTCCTTTCTTTCACACCTAAGTAGCTACATTGCTCCTCTAAACATCACCAGCTGCTGTGATATGTATCTATGAAACAGAGAAAGCACATATGAAAACAAAGCTCCTAGCAGACCCTGACACGGATGGCAAGTGAGCCCCAAAGTTTAAAGCTTAACCTTAGGGAAGTAGATATCTTTGTACATTTATAACTGAAAAAATATTAAGGTCTGAAAACAAAACAATAAAAAGAAACCCTAAGTGGTGATAGAAATAATGACTATTACATAGTTCCTGTTTGGAAAGATAGAAAATAAGCTATGATGAAGCCTGAAAGTTATTTGAGGGTTAGGAGGGTATGTCACATTACAATAAAGGCTAAATGGCTAGAAAGCTTTTAAGAAAATTACACTATAGAGTATTTTTCAGTTTTGATGACCAGTATTCAATACATTCAATATGAATAATCAAGTCAGAAAAACATAAAAATGTATGTAAAATTCTTTTCAATATTAATTTCAGTATCAACAATATATCACTATGTACACATAGTATAAATGTTAAGTGAACTTAAAACACACGGTGTAATATAGGATACTAGTTGCAGAAAATATAGTTTTTGCTCTTTATAAAAATAATCTAAAAAAAGCAAACAATACTGACATATATATATGAAGTTATAAATTATCATAGCTGTGCAATTATAACATACAAGACCTTCAGAGAATTTCTATATTCTTCTAAGAACACCCATCGGCTATTTGCCCTTCCTCTCTGCCTTCTCCATTCTCCTTCCCTTCTTTCCCTCCAATTTTTCGGCATTTATTGAAAGATGAAGTCCAGGCATATACACAGCAGGTATATACACAGCTAATTTTAACCTCATTTTCAGTCCAGTAACTTTTCCTCCAATAATACAACTTAGAGGCTGGTTTTACTAGAGGCCTAACAAACATTCAGATGAGTCCCGGCCCCAACAAAGGATCCCATTTGTAGGCTGGCAGGATAGAGTATGAAGAGAGGAAAACAACCAAACACCCCCTGGTGGAGGTGTCTAAACAGATGAGAACAGATGGAATCAAGCTCTGAGGATGAGCCTTCAGTGGCAGAAGGTCAACTTGCTTTGTATTAGAACAGAAGTGAGGAGGGTGGGTTCAACTTAGGTGGGAAGAAGTGCAGGAATTTTCAGGTGGTCATAGTGCATAGCCTGCAGTTTCTCTGTAAAGGGAAGGTGTTCTGCTTAGGAAAAGGGGAGGCAGCATGGGGGTCTTCAGAAAAGTGATGAAGGTTTGAAACCTTCGTTGTGGAAAACAGCAGCAATGCTCAGGGTACACCCAACGCTGAACCCTTCATATCTGAAGTTTCACTAGCAGAGCTCGGCAGCTGGTGCACTGACAGAGACCGATCCAAGTTGAATGGTTTTCAGGAAAGATAAAACATGGAGGAAAGTCAGTTAGAGTCCTGGGGAGAGACTGGTTTAAGTATGGGCTGTGGTTCCATGCTGACCTGGGCAGGATCAGGAAAGAAAGAGACAGACTGGGAGAACACTGAGCAGGAAGGGTCTGGAAAGTCTAAGGCAGCGAGAAAGTAAGAGGGAAATGTGCTTGTGGTAAAGGAGGGATATGTACCTTCTAGGGTTCAGTGATGCAGCACAATGAGTGATGACAAGGTTAAAGATGTTGACAGGAGTGCGCATGCCTAACAGAAGCATGGGTGAAGACTGCTGCACCTGGAAGGACACTAATCAAGTTACTCATATGATATTAGAAGTTGATGTGATTTAAAAAAGGCTGTTTGTGAAACAGGTGCCACAGCAGAGGATGAAGTACTCAGACATCAATGCAAAACCACAGGCAAGGGGATACACTGCATGCACCAACCAACGTGCACCATTTGTTATTATTAAAATAAAATCACTCTTCTTCCCTCTATATCATCCCTGTTCTATTGAATTTTCCTGTAGTTACCTAATGGGATCACTCTGAAAAATAATTGATCAATTTGAGGGAAAAAAAAGAAAAAGCAGCTCTCTATTGGGGAGTGGGAGGGGTTGGAGAGAGAGGAATAACATTCCCTAAAGGAAATCAGTCACAGCTGAGTCAGTTTCAGTTATTCTCTGCATAATCCATCTGTATTGGAGACTTTTATCTAAATTCTCAAAAATTATGAAAAGACACAGGCAGAAAGAATATACTTAAAATGGTATATAAAATAACACGAGAAAATAAAAATTAAATGGTTATTTACAAAATCATAATATTCTCACTAGTTGCTAGCAAGAAAGTTATCTCAATGTGTGTGCATAATACAACAATTGCACAGTCATGCAGTGAAGTTAAATGATTTAGTCTTACCTGTATTGCAAGGGCACGAGACACCAGCCCTCGGAGGTACTGTAAAGGGTCTTCTGGGCCTTCCCACTTGCTCTGCCACGTGAGAGGACACTGCAATTTAAAAAGGGTCCAAATTAAGCTTATATACACAATATTATATATTTTCAATAGCCAAAACATGGAAGCACCTAGGTGTCTACGGACAGATGAATGGATAAAGAAGTTGAAATATTCAGCCATAAAAAGAATGAAATCTTGTCATTTTCGACACCATGGAATAGTCCTAGAGAGTATTATGCAAAGTGATAAAAGTCAGACATGGAACAGCAAATACCATATATATGGTATTAACTTATATGAGGAACCTAAAAAAAATACAAACTCATATATATATATATTTTGTTGTTGTTGTTAATCCTCACCTGAGGATATTTTTCCATTGATTTTTAGAGAGAGTAGAAGGGAGTGAGGATGGGGGGGGGGGAGAGAAAAAAACACAACACACTGATTTGAGAGACACACAGTTTTTTAAACTCAAAACACTTTTTAATATTAAATATTGAAATCAAAGTAAACTGTACATAAATTTAGGAAAGATTAATAGGCCCCGGCCAGTGTGGATCAGTGGACAGAACGTTGGGCCTGTGCACTGAAGGGTCGTGGGCTCAATTTCCGGTCAAGCACAGGTACCTGGGTTGCAGGTGTCATCCCTGGCCTGGTAGGGGAGAATGCTGAAGGCAACCAATCAGCATGTCTGAGAGACACACATTGATTGATTGCCTTCTGTGTCCCGACTGGGGCCAGGGACAGAACCTACAACCCAGGTACTTACCCTTTACTTGAAATAGAACCTGTGATCCTTAGGTGCATGGGCCAATGCTCTAACCATTTAGCAACACCAGCCAGGGCAAAGACTTATATTTTTGGATAATAAACTGATGGTTGCCAGAGAGGGGATGTGAAAAAGGTACAAACTTCCAGTTATAAAATAAATGTCACAAAGATATAATGTACAGGACAGAGAACATAGTCAATAATAATGTAATAACTTTTTACAATGGCAGACGGGTACTAAACATATAGTGATGATCACATCGTAAGGTATATAAGTGTTAAATCACTACGTTGTACACCTGAAACTAATATAATATATATGCAACCGTATGTTAATAAAAATAATTTTTTTAAAGTGATGAGATGCCACTTCTGAGATTAGGTTACAAAGTACTGTGACTCCTGCCTGGCTCACTCTTACTCTCCCCCTTCCTCACTCTAAGTGAAAAGTTACCAAATTGTGAGTGGCTCATAAAGATGTCCGTAGAGCAAGGAACTGATGTGTTCAGTCCACAATCAGAGAGGGCCTGAGGCCTGCCAACAGCCATCTCACAGATGCTCTTAGAAGCTGTGAGACCTGCAGCCCTCACCCTGATTGTAGACTTGACAGAGACCACGAGACAACTCCCAGCTAAGCCTCACCCAGATTTTCGTCCCACAGAAGCTGTGCCATAATTTTTTGTTGTTTTGTGCCACTAAGTTTTAGGGCAATTTATTAAGTAGGAATAGATAACTAAGAGAATTAATGGTATCAGTATCAGGTGTAATACATTAATTCTACAAATGGTAAGTCCTTATTCAGCCATTCAGCATTACTTACTGAGTGCCTACAATGTACAGGCACTATGAAGCCCTTAATATTATAGAGCTTATAATTTACTGGGGGATAAAGAAAAATGTATTATTCAATATAGGAAGAATATTACATAGTGTTGAATTCCATGTAGAGAAGTACAATATGATAAGTGATATAAGTAATATGACATGATAGTGATATGATAGAAGACTATGGGAATAAAAGATAAAATATAGTCTTTAAATAGCAACAGAACAAAGGTAGAAAGAACCAATAAAGGAGAAACACAGCTAAAATCCCTTGTGGTGCTTTACTAATGAGTTATAGATCATGTCTGAAGTTCTTAGGATGAAATTATTTAATCAAAGAAGTCTTAAAAGAGGTAGCTGAAAAGCTCTGAAAGTAGTATTGGATTTTGACTAAAGGTAGAAAGAACTGGAGGGAACTTTTATAAGCTAACATTTATTGAGTGCTTACTCTGTGTTAGCAACTGTGCTGAATGCTTGATGGGCACCATCTCATATAGTCCTTACAATAATCCTCAGAAGCAGGTGGTATTATGACTTCCATTTGACAGAGGAGAAAATGAAACACAAAGAAACAGCCCCAATTCACAGGCAGGTAAATGGCAAGTCCAGGATGTGCACCCAGGCAACTTGGCTCTAACGCCGGTTTGCCAGCATCAATACTGCCTTCAACATATTTTCCATTTTTATACTGCTCCACCTATACCACACCATTTGAAATTAAACATAAGTGATAATAGATATTATTTGTTACAAATCTACTCAAAATGAGAATTAAAAGTATAATCATGGGCAAACTAAGGGTTAGAATAGGTTTGTTTAACTAAACTTGAAGTTTTTTAACAAATAAATGGGAAACCTGAACCCAGGTCTAACCCTAAATGCAACATATTTTTGGTATCCCACGTTTTTCATGAAAGATATCACAGAAGCAGAACAGGATATGAGCAGGTTATTCATTTGTTCATTCACTATTTCAAGTTTCCATTAATTGTTTATTCAGCAGGCATCTGTTAAATAGCTGCTATTTGGAAATCTTTTGTTAGATGCTAGGGATACAAAGTTATAAAACAACTAAAGGCCTGGTGCACGAAATTCTTGCACTGGGGAGGGGTGGGGGTTGTGGGGGGAGGGTGGTCCCTCAGCCCAGATTGCGAGAAGGTGCAGGCCAGGCCAAGGGACCCCACCGGTGCATGATCAGGGCCTGGGAGGGATGCGGGAGGTTGGCCAGCCAGGAAGGGACCACAGGAGGGCTCCAGGGCATGTCCGGCCCCACTCACTCAGTCCTGATCGGCCGGACCCCAGCAGCAAGCTAACCCACCAATCGGAGTGGCTGCCCCTGGTGGTCAGTGCACGTCACAGCGACTGGTCAACTGTCTGCCATGGTGGTCAGTGCACGTCATAGTGACTGCTCAACTGGTCGACTGCCCCCTGGTGGTGAGTGCACGTCATAGCAAGCGGTTGAGCAGTCTTTGCATATCATTAGCATACTATGCTTTGATTAGTTGAATGGCCGACCAGATGACTGTACACTTAGCATACTAGGCTTTTATTATATAGGATTCCTGACCATAAAAGGTTGTGCTAAAGGGGGAAATAGATACAAAAGAGACAGCTACAGACAATACTGTAAGTTCCCTGATCGTGACGAGCACTGTTCTACAAAACACAAAGGTGTACCCACCAAATCCACACTGAGTATAAGGGCAAGAGTCAGGAAAAGCTTTCTGGGAGAGATCATGCTTGAGGTGAGTCTCAAAAGATAAAGAACTTATAGTCAAGTAAAGAAAGACAGCAGGAAAAGGAAGGCACACAAGTAAAGAAGACGGCCATCAGCAAACCAGGAAGCAAGCCCCACCAGGTACTAGATGTGCTGGCAGCTTGATCTTGGATTTCCCAGCCTCCAGAACTATGAGCAACAAACTTCTGTTGTTTAAGCCACCCAATCTATGGTTATAGCAGTCCAAACTAAGAAAGAAAACTTTTTCATATTGATGAGAAAGTATAGGAAGTTCTACAAAGGCTATCTTTTGTATTTAAACAGAGAAGGTCTCTCAGGTTGACTATCAAGTTTCTCTATATTAAAGTAAACAGCAGGAGAAAACACACAACTGTTTTCTTTCTAGATTCCCATAGAGCCCTAGTGAAATCTTCTCTAGATGCCAAATTCTGTGAAGTTTATATTCTCCAATTAGCTAAAGTTGATCTACTACAAAGATTTTGTTTCTATCCAACAAATCTGATACAAGTGGATTTTACATTTAAAATGGCCCAATTATTCAGCAAGAGACATGGTGATTTCTTTTTTTTTCTGCTAAAAGTAGCCCGATTTTCTACTGGGTAACCATCCTTCCCTTTCTTGCAGTATATGTGTTACAGATGAAGCTGAATCCATCCTCAGCTCCTGGGAGAGGCATTAGGCTGAAACCCTAGCCAATGGGACCTGTGTACACTCTGCCCCCAGAATCAGTATGGGACTAGACATAAAACATAAGGCATCCAGTTTGGATCAAAGCTAATACCAAAATTTTTGTTTGAGTTATGAGGAAACAGATGTTCTTTTTGTTCACATGGAGCTCAGAAGACATAAGACTCAGGCTGCTAGAATCCATCCTTTATAGAGGACCTGCCCCAAAGTGAAATTGCGTGCACACACACACGCACACACACACACACACACACACACAATGACTGGATAGGTAGATATACCAGTATAATACAAGCTGAGATCCTAATGACAATTTTAAATTCCTTCATTAAGATGATTTAATGACAGTTACCTTGGATTCTTCAGTTACATGAGCCAATTAATTCCAACATGGCTTAAGCTAGTTTAACTTGGGTATGCTGTTTCTATTAACTATGAGACATCTGACAAATATGCACATAATGGAAAGGTGATTTATAAAATAATGAAGTAAAAACACATACTTAGTACTGGCTTACCTTTTGGTTTAATAAAGCACTTGCCAATTTCTGTACTTCTGAACTCAGTAAGGTTGTTCCTCTGATAACTTTGCTGAGAGCAGCAAGAGACTGGTGAACACTTTGTACTAAGCGAATGGCATTAAACTGTTCAAGAACGATGAATGATAATATTGGAGATCCTTGTCGATCATTAGGAGGAGACACTTTCTGATGAATCAGGTTTGAATTCTAAAAGAATAATATATTTATTGAAAAGTAACATAAATCATTGATATATTAAAATATGTAAAACATTATTAAAACCTTTTGTTCGTCTAACCTGTTTTGAAATACTAGTACTCTTATTTTATGAATGGCCACATTTATGAAATCTGTAAATACACAGAAAGGGAATTCTGAAGTTCACCAATGTTTAAGTGGTAAGGGAGTGGGAACTGAGAATAGGGGGTGGGAATTTAGAAAGAAGAACTATATTGAGAAGCAATAGTCAATACAGTAGGAAAAGTGAAAATAATGGCATCCTATAAGCCAACGAAAAGAGAGCAAAATAGCTACACTCCCACTCCACTACTATAAAGAGAGCAGAATAATGGCTTTGAAATAAAATGTAAATGGACATTTAATTTGAAAATTATCAGTATACTGGGTGGGCAAAAGTAGGCTTACAGTTGTGAGTATGCAAACAGTTGATTTTAGTATTATTATATTATTTATATTACAACTGTAAGCCTACTTTCGCCCTACCATGTATATATTGGAAAGCCACACTAAAGATCTTGTACTCAAGATATATATAGATATAGATATAGATATAGAGATATAGAGATATAGATATATAGATAGATATATAGAGATATAGAGATAAACATAGATATAGATATAGATATGGATATGTATTTATTTTTATATCTACACATTAACAGAAGCTCTGATACATGGAATGCCTAGGGCCTCTCAAATAAAAAACAAAACTCAAAGAATCCAATGGGACCTGTGCACATCCTGCCCCCAGAATCAGTTATTAACAAACAGTGGTTACGAGGGGAAATAATTACCTTCTTTCATAGTTTTCTAAAACTGTCAAAGAACTGACAAGAGATAAAACTGGGAAGTCCTGTACTCTTACCTGCTATCCATTACCCTAATTTTCCCTACAGACTGCTTACAATCCTAGTTAAGGATCCCTTCTCTTTGTTCTAATAGTTGTCACATTCATATTTTCTATGAGAGCACTGTATCTTTTTATTTATTTTATTTTTTTAACAATTCAAACGTGTTTTTTGTGTGTTTTTGAAATATATTTTATTTTTTTTAAATAGAGGAAGAGAGAAGGATAGAGAGTTGGAAACATCGATGAGAGAGAAACATCGATCAGCTGCCTCTTGCACACCCCCTACTGGGGATGTGCCCGCAACCAAGGTACATGCCCTTGACAGGAATCGAAACTGGGACCCTTCAGTCCACAGGCCGCACTCTATCCACTGAGCCAAACCAGTTAGGGCCAGCACTGTATCTTTTTAGCATGATAAATCATTTAATAATACTGTATGATGATCTATTATGGCCACTATCATTAAATAAATCATCATTAAATAAACTTTATTGGTATAAGATCATTTGTAAAGGCAGAGTTTTAGGCTATGAGCTCGAATTTAGGCATTTTTATTTCTATTATTGCTATATTTAAAAAATTAATGCTGCTAAAATAATTTTTGAGACACACATAAATATACATAAATGTACACATTAAAGTAAATGGCGGTAAACTTAAAACTGAATCTAAAAGAAATTAAAAGAATATTATCAAAATTAATTAGATTACCCTTTAGGTCAAAATTGAATTATCTATTTGAATCAGAGCATGCAATAAATAATACTTAACATATATCCAAACTAAATCAACTAAGTAATAAAAATGACATAAAATTTGTCCATAATCCCTGATATTAAAACAACATCTCTGGAAGTGAATATGTGGTGTTTAAATATTTATTAATCTTGGGCTAAGCAAGATTAGCAAATAATAATTTAGTTTATCTAAAAGATTTTGTGCATTTTTATCCATTATATTAGGCTGATGTGACTAATTTGCACTGTCTGCACTGTTATTTTATAGAACAAGAACACCCAAACTTAAATGATTTACGCAAGATTCTATTTATCTGTAATCCAAAAAAAGTACTAAACTTTTTAAGAAGTTTATTTAGGAGAGTAATGATCAACATAAACTGATGAATTCAAATAGACCCAGAAACATAAAAACATAGACTGTCAAACCTCAGAGGGAAGGCAGGGGAGGCTCGAGGGGGGAGGGAAGAGATCAACTGATGAACTCATATGCATATGCATAACCCATACACAGACAGTAGGCTGGTGAAGGTTTGGGGGGGGGAATGGGAGAGAGCAATGGGGGGGAAAAGGGACATATGTAATACTTTCAACAATATTTATTTTAAAAAATTAAAAACTAGAGAATACTTAAAATTCAAATAAGAGTTCAAGTAAGCCCTAATGGTCTAGGATGTGTAGTAAGTGTCAAATAGAAGCTGGATTTCAAAGACTTAAGAAAAAAGGGAGTAAAATATCAAATTAATATTTTATATTAATTACATGCCGAAATGCTAATATTCAGGATATATCAGGTTAAATAAAATGTATTAAAATTAACTCAACTCTTCCTTTGAACTTATTTCAATGTAGCTATTAGAACACTGAAGATGACATATTGGGCTCCCTTTTGCATTTCCCATCATATTTCTACTGCACAGTGGTCTGGAGACTATCAAATAAAGGGCTGTAAGTTCAGCAATAACAAATGAACAGAGTAAAAACACCATTCAGCTGAGTCTCAAAAAGTGAATGACTTATGAAAGATGACAAAAAAAGTAAAGAAAAAATGAAAAATTAGGCAAGCTGTAGTATAACCTGCGATAAATTTATAAATGGGAAAAATATAACACAGAAGACAGCAAAATATATTACAATATTTTAAAAACATAATCCACTTCCTAAAGACCTTCACAAAATTTTAATAAAAAATAATGTAAAATAACCCTAAATATAAAAATAAATGTAGGTATTTTACATATTCTAAAAGGATGAAGTATAGAGAAGATTCATAGCAGTAGTAACATGTTAGTGTTACATAATTTTAAGACAAAATATCAAAGTAAATACTATTTATAATTCAAATATAGCTAAAAGCACCACGAGTAAATTACAACATCTAAACTGTATGATTTTTGGTGGAACTACTGAGGCGGAATAGTCATATCTTTAGTCAACTGACTTTTTTAAGAAAAGCTTTTTTTTTTTTAATGAGTAAATACAATCGACTGAATCATGTACTTTTTTAAAATATATTTTTATTGATGTTAGAGAGGAAGGGAGAGGGAGAGAGAGATAGAAACATCAATGATGAGAATCACTGATCAGCTGCCTCCTGCACTCCCCTAATGGGGATCGAGCCCGCAACCCAGGCATGTGCTGGAATTGAGCCCAGGACCCTTCAGTCCGAAGGCCGGTGCTCTATCCACTCAGCCAAAATAGCTAGGGCTGAAGCATGTACTCTTGAAGGATGGCTTTAACATTTTAAAGTTCATCTTGTCATTAAAAAGCTAAGAATATTCAGAGAAAATCTTATCTATGAAGTTGCTGGAGGAAAAGGTTATAGGATATTTTAAAACTTAAACTTTTATGCAAAGAATATCTTTTAGATTAAAAAAAACAGTCTAATTTGGTGTAATTTAGGTGTGAATCCAGAATTTCTGTGTTTTTACTGAAATAGTTTTCTAAGTGGGATGTTATTTTAGACAAGTAAAATGGATGCCACACGGAAGTAGTTATATTTATATATATAATTAGATCTTTTAGAAAATGGTTCTCAGAAAGAATTTTTGTCACGAAAGGAAATTCAAGCAACAACGAGATGAGGGGTTAGCAATTTTTCCAGTAAAGTTGCAGACAGTAAATATGTCAGGCTTTGTGTGCCATAAGGTCTCCAGCATAACTACTCAACTCTGCTGCTATAGTGCAATCTCTTTCCTAATAAGTCTCTGGAGTGGAAACAGCCTTTCCTAATTCTAAGTCCATAAAGTTCAGGTGGAATTGACTCAACTGAATTCCAGAAATTAGTGTGCAACTTAAAGCATTCCATTTTCCTAACCACAGAGACTGACTCAAGGAAGGGTACGTGGCCAAACAAAATGCAATAGAATTTTGCAGTCATTTTCATAATAAAGACAGGATCTCTATGAAAAATAGTGCCAACAGATAGAAGAGCAGGGCATATGTGTGTATACATATATGTATACATATGTGCACATGTATATACACACATGTAGTATATATATATGTTTCAGTAAAGCAGCTCTTTCAGAATATTTATAATAATTATATGTATTACACATATAATATATATGTAACTGGGTCCTGATTACATCCTTTCAAGTTCCTTGGGACAAGCTGTGACTAAAACCAATTAAACACTTTTTCAGTTATGTGAGCCATAAAGTGCCCTTTTTAGGCCTAAGCCAGTCTGAACTAGGTTTTCCATCACTTGGAATCTAAAGAGTTCTGATTAATTTAAGTTTAACTGACTCTTGTCCCAAGTATTCATAATCAGAATAGTAAAAATTTTGACATATTTGCATTAAATTATGTCCATCCAGAAGTGGATTTCTGACACAACTGTGCAAAAAAGAAGGTAAGAAAGGGAATTAAAAAAGTAAAGAAAATACTACGAGTTTGGTGAGTTCAAAGAGTTGAAAAATCTATATAGTATTTCTGGAAGCCCATTCCACAGGACTGGCTGCTTTATTGTTTTGTTTTATTGTCCCAAAACCAGTTATTAGCAAACAGAACTTAGATCTAAACCTGGTAATAACTATTCCTTTTCATACCAAATTATCAGGTGGATCAAAGGAAACCAAAGCATCATGTTTTAACACTCATTTTATTTAGTTTAGTTCCAATTAAAGGTATTTTATTTAAAGCAGAGGTCAACCAGGACAAGTGTGTGCTAATTACCCAATAAACTGTTTAAATCAGAAATGTTGAAGACCTAAAATAGAAGGCAAAATCGCTGGTGACCAGTAGACAAAGGAAAGCCAAGGCTGTGAAAGACTGAGGAGGGGAGTATGCTGAGTTGATGTACGGAAAATGATATTGGAAGCTATTATTACATCTTTCTAAAAGAAAAACCGAGAGCCCTAACCAGTTTGGCTCAG